ATCGCCCTGGATCTGCCTATGGTTGTAATCGAGTTGCTTGTAAGATTTGCGAGTGGTGGGAAAGAGCTTAGAGAGTAGGAAATATAAAGAGTAAAAGCATATTTAAGCCAAAAAATGTTAAATGAAGCTTTGTAACAGCGTTGTTTGTGAGATTTGTGGACGCGTGAAAAAGTACGAGACTTAAAGAATATGAGATAGAAAGAGTAAAAACATAGAAAGAGTGTAAAGTATCCCAATTATAATTATCTTAAAGTGTTTTCATTTTACACTTTTTACGATGTTTTTTTTCTCGCTCTGTTAATGGGACGCTTCATACAGATTTGTAACAATCAAGAATGCCTGTTTGATGGCTTCGATTGCGATAGCGCCCAAGAACAGTGCCAGAAAAGTGATTACTGCACCGGGCATTACGGCAACGAAAACTGCGATCCGGAATGTAATGTGATCGGTTGTGGCTGGGATGGTGGTGATTGCGATTCCGCTGATACCCATTCATCGGTTTGTTGAGCGCCGTATTTTTCGTAGACGATCGAATTGCACGCGAGATATATTAAATTTTGAAATAATCTCTTAGGACGAGTCAAGAGTCAAATTTCCCTTCACATTACTCCCGCAGTGAGGGGCGGAAGCATTCGGGAAGTAGCTCGAGTGATAGCAAACGCCAACAGCAATCGCCCTCTGGCGACGCTATGAATAGTTGCTTCTTCTGAGGGTTGGTTAGGAGCAAGCTGATGGCGGATTTGTCTTCCTGACATACGCCAGTACCAATTTACCATCGAAACGAATCGCGTGGAGCAACTGATCATCCCACCGGCAGAGTCGAACCTTCAAACTATTGCACGGAACTGGTGGGTGGTACTAATATCGTTCAGTAGACAGCGCCATGCCGGTTTTTTAAAACACATAGCACTACTAAGTAGGAATTGCTAACATGAGTTGCGCAAGAAGAGCCAAATTTAAGCATTATTGCATGCTGCGGTTAAAATCCAGAAAGCTGTTGGCTTTTGGGGGATACCGCTGAAGTACTCCTTTTCTACGGCGTAGTGTATGTGTCAAAACATTTCAGTAACATCGGGGATTTTACGTCAGTAACGTGGATTAAGCGCAAATATTTTTACAGTTAGCGGGAAATATAATCGTGATACTGCTAATCAGTCCGGAGGAATTTGTGCGTAACGCACAAACATTTCTTTTTACGCTGAGTCAGAAACTGCGCGGTTCAGTGCGAATCCGAACAATGAATGGCAAACCAATGATTTATTCCTGGAGTTCGGAGAAAGGTGTCGGG